CTCCTGTGCTCTTGAGACGGTGTGTATATGTATATACCAAATGGGTAAACTATTTGCGCGTCGGCTACCAGCTCAAACTTTATCGCGAGCAATATAATACCTATATTGAGTTTATACCGTTAAACTAAACCCGTAAGGACTTTATTTATCTCGTCCCTGGCACTTTTTCGATTCTCGCCTGAGCACACTAGGATCTTTGAATCTTATAAAGAAAGGGTTGGGTGTACATGTATGTAGTTACGTGGAGGATAGGATGGATGTATCTGTGCACGAGGGATTTGTTTAGTGATTTATTGAGGTCGGTTCGTTTATTTTGTACCGCGTGAGGATTCTTTTTTTATTGAGCTGTTAATTATCGGCAAGACACGAGTAGCATAAGGAAAGTTTTGCTCGTCAATTTGTATAGCCGCTATTGTTTTCTCGACTTTTTATTGCTTTCCCGTGTGTCTTGGATAACCAACTAAAATATAGCAACAGTTGTGATTTAATTAGCAAATATAAGGAGAGATTTTTTTCCGTTGCCTCACCTAATGATGAAGTCTCACGTACGATTTAAAAAAAAAGTGTTTTATTTTTTCTCTTGACTGGAGTTGGTTTTGTTTCTAATCGGCTGAATTTATGCGAAATAATAGGGTTTCTTCGAGGTAATAGGACAAGTAGGATTTTGCAGGGCCCCTTTTAAACACGAGACAGTAGGACAGGTAAGTGATTTTTTTTTTATTGATTAATAATGCGTATAAAATATTTTGTAATTCTTAGTAAAAAATAATAAATATTTATAAGGAATGCACTGGAATAATTGTTAAAAAACGATAAATTTGACGAAAACGACAAAGAGCCATTATCCATTGGATTTCTTACTATTTTTACTAAATGTTATAAATGTATGATAGAATATTTTTTATAAGATCCCAAGGTAGGTATGAAAGACACACACTCACCTTTCCTTTATCGAATACAAATTTGTTGTTAAGTGGTCAAAACAGACGGTGCTGGGATATCTATTCTATTAAAAAAACATCTATTGTCCACCTAGTTTCAATTATTACTTTGATAGACATTATGATAAACTGAATAAATGGAAAACTTTTTCATATTTTTTTAGCTCCGTTAAAAATAGTTTTAAATTGTTTCAAAGGAATTTCCACATATATGTAACGCAAACTCATGTACACATATGAAATGAAAAAAAAAACGTCAAAATCTGTTTTCCTGTCATTATGGTATCAAGACTAAAAATAATCATTTAATGTTTATGATTATGTTGTTATTTTATGGATTAGACAAAAATATAAATTTTAGAAAAGAGAGAAATATGTACAAATTAGAAAACCATTTTAGAAAAAAAATTTACAAAAAAAAATATAAATACAATATAGACAGTGACAGTGATTATAGTATTTAACACTGCTATAACGTGAGATTGATAAATTGTTGATAATTTAATCAATATAAAATATTTTATATTTAATGACGCTGATACTGGTATGGATTTTTTTTTCATTTCAAATTAATCACAGTGTAATGATACTAGAAAATTATTTAATTGATAAACCGATTAATTATTTTTTATAATAATCGTTAGTTTTTAATTTTCATTAGTAACTATTAAGTAAAAGTAGAAAAAAATTGAAAAATTCCATTTGAATCGATACTGCAACAGTTTAAATTTAACAGTAAAAAATAATTTAAATTTTGTCTCTCAGTGTCATTTGTCTCTTATTACTAATTATATCTCCAATGTTGAAGACCAACAAAACCCATTACTTTAGTGTATCTGCGCCTTCTAATTTACTGTAATAATAATTTCATTTGTCACTCCATTCCACCTAAATTTTCAGTTAATTATTTTTATCAAAACCGGAAAAAAAAATCAAAAAATTATAGTATTCGAACTGATATGACGGCAGTTTCAATGAAACAATAAAAAAACAATTTAAATTTTGACACCTAGTGTTGCATCTCCAACGCCGCAGACTATTAACAAAACGAATTATCTTAGCGTATATCTTTAACTTTTCATCACCATCATGCTTTAGTTACCATTTAAATAATGCCCCATCGCTTTTGTTTTACCAATGCACATAAACACATGTCTATCCGCACCACGCACACCATTGCCATCGCATCCAACACCATGACTCTTCCATCGTCCAAACCCATCCTGCTAATTTTCCAGCCCAAAATTTGCAAACTGAGTGGAAGTGAGCAACAAATGTAATTCTATTCGCTAGCCTGTATAAGTCCCATATTTATAATATGCACTTTCGAGTCTCGGACCGGCTTTCGACACCGGCCGCGAGAAACTCAACCAGCCAAATGGAGCCCTCTCTCTTTCCCTCGTCTATACACCGGGCCCCGATCGGTTGTCGTCCACGAACCGAATCAGCTGCAGTGGTTTTCGATTCACTTTCAGTGCGGACCTTTTTTTTCCAAGCTTTCGCTTTGGCTCCCCTTTGATTGGCTCCTACTTTACTTATGCAGAATACAATGCCGGCGTACAGGTATCCATCGGGTGATTGGCGGAAGTGATGTAATCGGACACGCCGAGCGGTTTGAGCAAACGACCGTATAATAGTATTGTTTTTTTTTTCTTTCATCTGAATTCCGTAGTTGGTTGATAACACGGGCATGTCGATACAATACATATGCTCGGAGAAGAAAGTTACGGGGTAGGAAAAAAAAAGAAAGGCAGTGTCCACTGCGCAAATGAAATGTACGTCTTCTAACGAGTCAGCGGCTTCTCGGCTTGTTGGCTGTGGTCGATCGCCTCTCCTATTCTCTCTTTCTCGTCATCTCCACGAGTCATCGTCTTTAACATTTCTATTCTAATTAAAAAAACAAAACAAAAAATGCACCAATCACTCGATGTCCGTAGGAAACTCCAGAGTGCGATGATGACAGGTTGGATTGAAAAAAAAGGGGGGATAAAACCTAACGAGTTGGAAACGGCTTGGGGGACGCTTTCTAAAAGCTGTTGTAGCGAGCAAACAAGGCAAGACTCTGTGCATAAAAAAAAGAAGACTGTCTCGTCAAACGTATGAAAAAAAAAAGAAAAAAGTTTCGATAGAATTAATACTCGTTAGGTGTGTACGTGTGGGTGAAAGTGGTTCGAGCTGGCGTGTGTTTTGCTTTTTTATTCCTCCTTGCGGTGCGGCCTTTTTTCGTGTGTATTTAAATGGGTTGGTTGAATTTTTATACGTGGGGGGCAAATGGTATCACATTAGTGTTGATATGTATATGCTTGACAACTATATTTACTGAATGCGAGAGTTTTTAAAACAAAAGATTAGCTCGAGAAAGCTACACATGTTTCGTAAAATATCAAATACGTACACTGTGAAATCATTTGTCATTTATGAACAATTAGATTTAGACGGTGCTCCAATCAGTAATAATAGTTTTTAATTGTCTAAAAAATTGTTTAACCGCGCCTATTTCTGACGCATTTTTGGGGGATATATGTTTGTGTGCACGTGTAGGGCTTGTTTTTTAATGAAATTTTTTTGTCTCAAAATGACATTTAGTACATGAATTTTACGCAACAATTGAATATAACTGACGAATTTGTATAAATACAATAAACAAGAGACAGCTAATTATTGATTCTTTTTTTTACTCAGACGTCACGACTTGATCCCAATAGTGGTGTCTCAGACGAACACAGCAAACAATCATTACAAAACATCTTTCAGTGCAAATTTATAATTTATTTAAAAAAGTCTTTGTTAGCGTGGAAAAAATTCTTTTGGAAAGTAAGAGTTGACTTGAAATTATATTTAAAAAAAAAAAAAAAACTTTTAACGAACTTTACAATATTTATAGTTTCCCCAAAGAGTCAATCGTAAACCAAGGAGTCGCTTGCAATGAATAAAACGTGAATTTTTATTACAGCTGAACATTCAAGCACTTCTAATTAGATTGCGAAGCGCAAAACGCATCTGTCATTGATATGTAGAATGTGTATTTCAATTTGAAAGTGTCAAAACGGCCATTCGCTACGAAAACGATGAAACTTTAACGCCCAAATTGAAACACATCAATTCGATTTTATCGAAAAACAATACCCTCGAGAAATTCTGGAAACGTACACATGTACACAATAGCAATCCACACCAAACGATTTTTCCCGAGAAGTTATTCGCAGAAAATTTTCAGGAAAAACATATAAACAAAAGCACAAAATCGAGGACTTGAATGCACTCCAGAGAGAGAGAGAGAGAGAGAGAGAGAGAGAGAGAGAGAGAGAGAGAGAGAGAGAGTATAAGTACCTGCACGGGCGGTAGGTGATGTACCTATGTATACAAATCGCACTCGTGCTCCTTCTCTTTATTTTATTTTATTTTTTTTCACCACGGAAAACGGAAATGCGCCGCGTACCGTTATTGGCCTCGAGGGCCACGTTTTCGCGTTAGGTATACATTTTTATTTGTGCACTTATACAGAAAGAGAAAAAAAAGGTACCCTTGCTCGTGTAATACATACCTGTACGTGTGGAAAAGGGGGTATTGTTGTATAGGTAAATTTTTTGTATTAGTTGAAATAACTTTATCATTAATTTTTCTTGAATACGCAGAAACAGTATACACTTATCGGTATCCGCACACAAGCTTTTTCTATTATCGATGCGACGACTTACATTTTCACTGATATTCGATACCGCAGAATTGCCTTTATTGATACTAAATGACGTAAGGATAGTGATTTGAAAATATACATCTATAGATTGCTGGAAGTAGCAAACGCATCAACGGACAAAAACGATTTTCCTAACGATCCCATGGAACCATCGGACTGTCTCGTAAAAATAGATGAATGTTTTTATGATTTATAAGTGCACACAGGTACGTGATTTAAAAAGCTCGAGCTTGTTTTTTTGTTTTTTTGTTTTTTTTGTTGAATTTGAAAACCCAAAGGGTCGTTACACTATAGAACCCCCAGGGATCGGCAACGAAAAGGCACGAAAAGGTTATAAAATGAATAAGCAAAAACAAACTCACTCCTCGGGTGGGTTGACGTTAATGGTCGTGGGTCTATAGACCTGGGTGAAGGGGCTCTTCTCCCTGCGCACCCGTCCGCTGTTGATCGCGTCGTCGTTCTCGTTGTTCCGGGCCTCCATCTGCGCCGTTCTTATCGCAAACTTCCTTCTCGGGAACTCCTGCAGAGGTTGCAACTCTTCTTTTTTCGAATCACCGGTGGCCATTTTGCAAAACAAACGAACCGCTCGAATTTTTCTAAACGTAACGCACACCCGGTCATACGGATGGAGCGACGAAACGCTCGTTGTACAAGCGTATAGTTGGCTGGTATCGTTATTCGGAAATTATTTCAAGCTAACGTTATCACGCCTATCATAGGCCTAAAGGGGAGGGGGGAAATAGTAGGGGCTCATACACCAGGTATTATTATGTAGGTGGGGCAGTATTGGTCATTGGGAGAATCATTATTTTTGCATTCATTCTTTATCGTTGTACTTTATCAATAATACATTTCTAGAAGCCCGTTGCACGCGACAGTCAATTATATTCACATTAATGTGACATACCACATTTGGTACATACCAAAATCGGTATCGGATGAACGTACATGTATACGTTACAATTTCAATTTTACCATTAGGTGCCCGAGCTGGAAAAAATTTATTGTTATTTTTAATTAATATGAAGCTCGCATGAAAATACTTGATTGACAATTGTTGATGGAGCTATATCCAAACCTACATGCTCTTTTTATTTATAGAACACAATGAACATATACTTACCAGAGAGATGCCGATAAGTGATTTACAGAGTCGATCACGATTGAATCGATAATTTTGTAGTTGTACTCGAGAGGATTTTTCCCTCGAGGCATCATTTACGTATAGGCTTTTTAATTTTATATCAGATGATATAACAGTTGATAGCAACTTATGGAATAAAAACAATAAAAAATATCCCTTAAGAGTTTTTGTATGCTTGTGTGTGCTCGTAAACGAATAAAATCAAATGGGCAAAAGTAGTAATAAAAGGAGAAAGTTGTCTTATGTTTTAATATCAATATATAGTCTTGATCCAGTATGTAATGAAAATTTTTAAAATAGGGTTTAAATGTCATTCAATTTGGTACCACAAATTCAAAGTTACAGTAGTTTAAAGAAAAGAAAGAAAAAAAATCGGTTTTTTGGTGAATATCCACAGTATATCATGTTTAGCGATCTCCAAAGCTCTTCTTTCAACCGTTGTTACTATTGATCGGTAGCACTAAATCAAACGAATTTTTTTTTTTATCGATAGGGATTGACTTCAGCTTTCATCTAAGATCCATCACACTATTTCATGTAATAAAATATCCTTAGGTGTTTGTTGTGCATGATATTTACAATGAAAAATACTAAAAAACAAAAAATTTTTTATTTCCACAAGTGTTGAAGTTGGTTTGGTCTGGCTACTGGATAATCACGTTATATTTGTCTTGAAAAATTAGGAAAACTCATAAATTCCAACTTACCTCCGTCGGGTTACCACAGAGCGCGCTATCCAGCGCCACGATCGAAAAGCACGTGCCGCAGCCCGAGCTCGGTCGGCAAACTTACCACGACCGCGTTCTCCGTCCGACCAATGGCAAGCAACAAGCGCCTGTCTCATATCTGCGAAACGCATGCATCACACCGATCACCGATCACCGAAAGAGCACAACTACAGTTGTTTCGATTAAAAAAAAAAAAATCTGTTCTTTCAAAACCCGAGGTACTTACGATCATTGCAAATGTTAGAAAGGCGTGTGTTCGTCCGATACATTGATCAATGCGAAAAATATATGTTTCTCCAATCGGTTTCTCTTTTATATTCCGTATACCCTTCGAAATTCAAAGGGGATGATCGGTAAGAACCCCCGCAGCGCGTATACATGTATAAATAATTCCAAAGTTCCCCAGCCGGTACTGCAGCTCGACTCCCCTGACTCTGCAAAATCTCCTACTCGCCGCACGGCGGCCTGGCCAGAGATCGGCTCCCTTATTCTTTTAATTCACGTCCAAACGTACCGTAAGAACGCCGTCAATGACGCCACGATACCCCGCAATGTCAAATGCCCGAGTCTCGAAAATGCCCGTCACTACCCCGTCACGACTCGACACTCGAGCCGACAACTAAGTCCCCTCCCCCCCTGCACTCCTCCGCATTTATCTTCGACACGACAAAGAGAGAGGAGAGTGTATGGGTGCGTATACTCGTGCCCGACAGCCCGACCCGAGCATCAGCTCCGAGGTTATTGTTGTTGTGCGGTCGAAAATGTCCGCTCGTACTTTTGAGCCGTGGCGGCTTTTCGCTTGACACTTGCTCGCGTGTACATCCGAGGCGCGTCGCGAGAGGCCCAGCAAACCGAGCCCCCTACGAGGTAACGTTCACGTCGCCCTCGTTGAGTTGCTGGGCTGGCCGCGCTCGGATAACCTGCCGTTCGGACTCTTGGACGGTGTCCACTGCGTCCGGACAATTTTTTCTTTTCCACTCTCCAGGAGGGGTAGAGAGATCGGAACACGTGCCCGGGAAACGAGATCGGTAATAGTGGGAAAGGACCGCTGTGGATTTTCATTCGTTTCGGAGTGCTTTCTGTGATATCTAGGCCTTTGTGGGTCAAAAAAAAAAAAAAAAAAAAAAAAAAAACGACAACAACTTCGAGTGAAATGGTCCTCTGCTAAAAAGGATTGAAGGAGGAACAGGACCTTGTTCATATAGCACTTGGTTGTTACTCGGGAGATTGGACTGTTTTTTTTTTTTGGTTTTTTTTTTTTTTTCGAAAGTGCAACTTACATTCCTTCATATATACGAGTGTGTGGAAGAGACTTTCTGCGCACAGTGCAACAGTCACATTAGGTATGCCTAGTATCTAATCTACTCTCGGCTACGACGGCTACTTCTAAAAACGGAGCACTGCATACACATACACAACGTATAGATAATTATTGTATAGACACACACACGCGCACAATAAGTGTATGAGTATATAGTATCGGTATTTCGTACGAGGAGAAGCATCAGCAGCCACGCGACATGGGATCTCGCAGGTGAGTGTCCTCTTTGCTTCTCTTCCTCTGTATATCTGTTTTTTTTTTTTTTTTGTGCATTATCTCTCACTCTCTCTCTCTCACTCTCGTACGCGTCATTGTATGTAATTTTCTGGGTGCATAAGGATTTTTGAACTATTTTGAAAGGAGTAGCAGGCCCAAGTCGAGCGAAACGCGCCAGTGCGGGGGAAAACAATTTTCGAGCCTACACAGGGCGTTTGTTGCTGTGGTTCGTGGGTTGAATTTTAATTTGTCAAAATGACCTCGAAATTTAAAAGGTGTCGAGTACAATGGGTCGAGCTGATTCGGGTGTGTCTCTTGGTGCAGGGATATTTCCTCAATGCGATCGTCAAGTTTGATCGGTCTGATTTATTGGGCCTTTGTAAGAAAAAAAAATGTATATTTAATAAAGTAGCCGTGAAATAATACAATGTACGGTTGCACAAAAAAATCATCCCGTCATCGTTGATTGTTTTTATATATTGGGATACCGTGTATTAAAAGTCAAGTCACATTGTTATGAAAAGACATGAACCTTGAAAGGTGGAGTGAAAAATTTAAACACGAGCTGTTGAATATTACGATCAGCTAGTAAAAAATTTTTTTTTTCATTGGAAAAAAAAAAAAATTAACATATAATACTTACTTTGAATTTATATAAATACTTGGCTACTGTAAAGTTCAATTAATAACAATTACTCTATTTTTTTTTTTTTTTTTTTTTTAATTGCGTATGCTTTATTTTTTATGATAGAAATAACAATGGATGTATTTTTTCTTGAATTTCATTGATAACAATCTCTACAACGTTACACTATTTTTATCAGATTCGAGTTTCCAACATTTGTTTCAACCGTCACTTTTACAGAAATAATAAAAATGAAAAATGCCAAGTCGATAAGACTAATGTAGTATTGTTATCTGGGTTTTACAATGAAAATAAGCGTCAATTATCATTGGCTTACTCATCATGTCACGTCCTCTGGTTAATTACATTGTGCTTCCCTCTTTTTACCATTTTTATTTCATAGATTTTAATTATCACTCCTACGATGTTATTCAGATTTATGTCGATACTTTTTTTTTTGTTAAGTGCATCTTTCCATAGGCGGCGAGTATAATAAATAATATTGTATGCTCATCAAAATTATTCATATTTTCGTATCTTCTTACTTTATTAAAGTATTTGAGGAAAATTCCACAATCTTGGAAAACCAGATGCATTTAAACATGATAATTGAAACAATCGTCCAATGCAATTAAAATGGCAATTAGAGCGGCTGAAAATGCAAATTGTTATTTTTTATTAACACCTCGGAAACTCTACACCTATATACTTTGCGGACGTTCACAGCTCACGAAAAAAAAAAAAAAAATTAAACGAATTCCGGGTAAAATACGGAGCGACACGCATTCTCAAAATTCACCGACGCTCCGAACAATGCATTAACACAATTACCTGCTCCCTCGTTAGCTGTATACACGCACAAGCATGCTCGTTTCGTAAATTTCGAGTGCCAAAGCATCTAGATGATAAAAATATGCTCGCGCGACAAGCAAAGTTATCAAGACGAAGGACGATTTCCGTAATTGCCCAACACCAACGTGTCACCAAAAAACTAATACAATAGTCCACGGGTGCTGATTTCCACTCGGCTCGTGTATTATATTCAAGTATTATCTCCCTCGTAACGAAGTTTAAAACAGATAAGTATAAACGCACAATTCGCTTTCTCGGGGCGAGCTGTGGTAATTCACGGAGCTCGGCCAACGCCGGCGGTAGGGGGTTTATTGTTTTTCTTTCGTGTTTAACAACCAAATATGATTATTTATTATTTTCCTCCCTGCATAACATCTACTTGCGCTTTTTGCCGTTGTAGCGCGTGAATTTTCCATCTCGAAGGTGAAAAGTAAAAGCGAGAGTCGACTCGTGTCTCCGGTGCGTGCGCTCGCGCGTCTGACTGCAACACGCACTCTTTCTACTTATTAGGTATGCGTATACGTGTATATACTTTCTCTATTTTGCGCGCATCGGTGATTATTGTGTCTTGCTTTCCCATCGCTTCCCCTCCTTCTCTGTCTTGGCTTTTAATTGTTATTTGCGTAATCGGCAAGAAACCGTCCCTCAAAATCACCAAAGTCCCTGTTATGAAACAAGGTTGTAAAATGTCTAATTCACAGGGATGTTTATAGTAAAAATTGGGGAAACCACAAACAGTACAATTGTTTCATGGATTCTTATACATGAATATTACAGTGTTTTTGCTTCATAGATTTTTTATTAGTTTCTACTTACAATACAATTTTGAGGAAAAAAATTCTTTCTCTTGCATATAAGTGTAATTTAATTTTATACATGACTCTTGATGTACTTTAACCTTTTTTTTTTCAAAATGGTATTGCATTGTTTCTTCTAGAAATATTTTTTCTTAAGTACTACGTAATAAGAAGAACTTGATATAATCTAAATATTGCATTGCTCTTTTAGGAAAAAAAATACTGTTTCTAAAAAAGTGTATCCATGCCTAATTCTGAACATTTAGATGATTTAGTTTTCATTTATTGTTATCCTGCTGTGGTTTTTTTTCTTAGATACCAACGAAAACTCTTTTTTCGAACAATTGAGAAAATTCTTATTGTAAAAATGACTTTTCCGCCCTCGGGTGGTTTTGGGAGGCTGGTACTTCCTCGGGCGAAAAAGCAGTTTTCCGGAACTCGTTCGAAAAGTCTCCTTTACGAACCTCGTTACGTCCTTCGCCTTCGGCTCGGGCCGCAAACCTCTCGGTTCGCAAACAAAGACTTTTCAAACTCGTAGGAAAACTACTATTTTTTATTTTTTTAGTTAATCGAGGATACGCTAAAATTATGATAGATTTCATGGCCTCTGTGACACGTTATTATGTTCGATTTCGTTGAACGACATATATTCATTTCAATGCACACAAAGCAGCAGAAATACAACAATTGTTTTATCATCGTCAAAATCGTAAAACTGTGGAAAAAAAAATCACATAGAAGAACAAACGACGCGCAAAAAAAAAAAAAAAAAAAAAAAATCATTCGCAGAGTCGCAACTGTATGAAAAAAAAAAAATCCAACACACGTATCCAAGGTACACACTTGGCGCACGTCACGCATCACCTCCNAAAAAAAAAAAAAAAAAAAAAAAAAAAAAAAAAAAAAAAAAAAAAAAAAAAAAAAAAAAAAAAAAAAAAAAAAAAATAGTGACTCAGACAGCCCCTCAAGGCCCGTAGCCAATTTTCCTTGGATGATACTTGCATTACATGAAAACATAAGCGTCATCTGGAAATTAATTTTCATTCCATCGCGCGTAAAACCCATCGGCCTTCTTGCAACGCGGCTGAAATGTTACGCACGTAGTCTCTTATTGTTGTTATTTAATTATTATTTTTATATTCCAAAAGTCCCACGCAACATATAGCAGATATCAGGTAATCGTCGTTTCACGAGAAGGACGGAGAACACAACGAAGTGACTCAATTTTTTCCCGAAATACCTATATTTTACACGGAGGGTGTCGTATTGTTTTTTATTTTTATTTTACAGCCTGACTCACTCCGCGTGCAAATATTTTACAGCAAAAAGATATCCAAAAACTCGTTGTCACCGAGAAAATAAAATAAAAGGAGCGATACGACATTAACACTTGCGCGAGACAACCTTATAATATTTACGTAAATACGTAACGACGCAGCGCACGTGTGTATGTATGGATACTCGCGAGCAGCCCATCATCCACTCTTTCCTTCCGCGATACACGTAACGCTCTCCGTCTCCTCACTTGGACAATCATAATGAAAAAAAAAAAAAAAAAATCATTCGCAGAGTCGCAACTGTATGAAAAAAAAAAAATCCAACACACGTATCCAAGGTACACACTTGGCGCACGTCACGCATCACCTCCACCTCCAGCATCGCCACCTCCTACTTTTCTCTGCAGCTCTCGCGCCACCTCCTTCGGTTTTGCTCTTCGCAGCAGCCCACAGTACCACATTAGCGTCCCCCGCGCGTACTGCTTTTGCGCTGCTCACTCAACGCGTGCACGTATACATATATATATATATACACGCAAAATCACTATCCGCAACCCCCAAAGATGGGCACAGTGTGACTATTTGTGCCAAACTGCGGATAGAAGAAAAAAAAAAAAAAAAAAAGAAACCCTATAACTCAAGTAAGGGCGTTTGAAACTTTGAAGCATTTGTGCCATGTGCGCGTGTATGGTGTCGCAGCCCATCATAGGTCGGGGCGGTGGTGGATGCGCCCTTCTCCATGCACCCATTGAGGCAACCGACGGAGGTTGCCAGTAATATTATACGCTCGCTCGTGTGGGTGCTACATCATCGATCGGCGCGTCCACGAAGCGGATCAGACGAGGTAATTCAAATTACGGGGGTTAATTGTTGTTTTTGCTGGGGCTAAAAATGCAGCGCGGTCGCTACGGAGATATCAATCGATCAGCGAGGGGGACGTCGTATAAAGTGCAGCGCCTCCCTCCCGGTAGATCCTTTTTTTTTTTTTTTTTTTTTCGGTGCACTCTTGCTTTTTATTTTTTATTTTTGTTTTCTTTGCAGCTGCTAACTGAACGCGCGAGCTACACGTACACCGATGTTTGTCCAGATTTTATTTTTAGCGACTGCGACTTTTCTCTCTCTCTCTCGCTTTTTTCAACGCGCGCGTGTGCACATATAGGGACCCGTCGTTCTTGACCTTCATGTACATTATGCGTATACGTACGTAGGATGAGGTAATCGGAACCACACAGAGCCGCTGCTCCATTTTTTTTTCTCCCCCGTTCTCTTCTGATCCTGCTGATGATCCGTGCCACAAGTGCAGAAAAAAAAGACGTGGGTGACATGAAATTCAAAATATGAATACGTGCGACGACGAACTTTTGTGTATGTATATATATATGCGTGGGTGAGAAAAAAAAGAGGGGCAAAGAGAAGTCGGAGGGGGACGTTTTTCTCGAGAGAAGCGTACAACTCCCTGTCGTCCAACGGCGAGACTACATCCTCCGCGAGTGACTGATCTAAAAATTGAAAGATAAAGATAAAAAAAAAAAAAAAAGGAAAATAGGTCGCCTCGGGGCTCCTTTTTTTTGCCGTGGGTGCGGCACGCGTGGCCGTAACAACAATTGAACGAGCCAGACGCGAGAGGATGCCTACACATCATTATACGCGATCGCTCAATGTCGCGAATGTACTGTACGTACGCACGCGCGTGCGCGCTAATCCCCAAAGGACTCTCTTCTTCTTCTTCTTTTTCTTCTTCTGGTGCTTTATAATTTACCGATTGCAAAATTTTCATGTGCGTATAATTATATACGTGTCAGTGGTAGGAGTTTCTGTCATCCATCTGACGAATATTACTGTCGAACGCGTCCTTTTCACAGAGTAAATGTACGAAAAAAGGACTCATGAATGCGTCCGTAGGGAGGAGGTATCTTTGTTTTTGTGACTTTTGTTTTCATATTTATGTGCTTTCGAGATGACGCGACGTAGTTTTTTTTTTGTTTGTTCCTTCGATCCCGCGTGAGTGGAGGATAATAGGAGTTTCCTTGGAGGCGATTGCGAAACGAAAAAACAGTTTAAGAGACGGTCGGTGAGGATAATTTATTCGTGGCTTTCGTGTGTAGTGGCGAGCGCAAGTATTGGAGTGAAAAAATAAAAATAAATGCAGTGCTGGCACGAGGGATTTTTTAAGGGCGGGGGGGGGGTGTTTTCGGGGTCCAGAAGTGATGAATTCGAGGGCTTTTATTCCACTTTTGGAGTACGATCGTCTCTTGGAGTGTTTGGTGTATTTATCGGAGCAAGACTCGGATCATCACAGAATTTTCTTAATTCATGCAGAAATAACAAATAGGTTCAAAGGGTTGTAACTGGGGCGACTTAGAAAAAATTCCTGCTCTTAAATGTTTACGAAGTACTTGATCGAACGTGTTTGATGTACCTAAAAATTAAATGAAGATGCAATTTATATATATATATATATATTTATTTTTTTTATGTATTTTTGGTACATTTCTTTAAAAGATAAATGAATGTACTTGGCTGAAATTTTCTCGCGATTCTGAGATTACGACCTCCTTTAATTGAATTACGAAAACGTTTTGCTCGAGTTTTTTTTTATACGTGTAAGTTGATGTTTACAAAAATAACTTTTTTTTTTTCATGATAAAAAAAACTCACAAAACCAATATGATTCCCTTTTACACTGAAGCTAGAAACGATAACAAAATTTCCAATACGTAAATCGAATTTTGTGATACATTTTTTTCGAGCCATTCAAAGTCTTTCAAGTGTAAAGAATCTAGATAAAAATTTTCAAACCTTTTTTCAAATTTAGGAATAAAAAAAAAGTACAAGGGAATTTTTTTCTAATTCCACAGTTGTTGTCAAGTAAAATATACACGAATTTGTAATCAATTTCAGATTTAAATATTTTCCTTCAAACTGGACAGAAAACCTGTAAGTATTTTCGTCACTCTAAACTTGATAAAAATTTATCGTAAAAAGCTTGGAAAAGTGTATTTTTAAAAAGTGTATTAAAAAACAAAAAATTGGTGACACCAATGCGTATGTAGCGAGAGCCAATCGATTTTTGTTTTGTTTTTTTCTTTTTTTTTTTCAAGTGCGGTTCAACGCAATTTTTTCATTGTTGAGATGAGTACTTTACTACTAAAATGGTTATTTATTACAATTATTATTTTTTTAATAGCTAACAGCCTTTATTTTTCAGGATATTTACGAGTTAGACTTTATCCTCTTTTATGTAGTTCATTTCACAGTACTGTCCTTTTCTAATCACGACCAATCGTTCTCAAAATGCCCAGTTTAAACAAGATTGCTTTAAATTTTTCGTTTTTTTTTTTCGTATTTTTCTCGTCCTCAAAATTATTTTAGTTATTATTTCATTAATAAATTGATAGACTCATTGATGGTACATTAAAAATGTTAAATGTATATGTTTTCAACATACTAGTACATCCTAGCAACTCATGAAAAAGGCGTGAAAAATGTGTGTTCATTCGATATGACTTACAGTCCAACGAAACTTTAATACACAAGGCACGGCTGCTACCCTTTTTATCATAGTAACAAATAAATATAGTCACGAGATACATCACAATGATGATTCTTTTAGATTAACTTGGGTATTAATGTCTTTAATGTACGTCAATCCGAAATAAGAAAATATGGAGCAATCATGTCCAAGCAGTAATTATTTGTGAAAATTTCTATTCGAATTAATTGTTTATTATTATTTACTTAAATAATAAAAATAACGTGTAACTTGTTCTTCGAGTAACACTTCGCTTCTTCTTTCGTGACCCTCTGACGGCCAGTGATTGTTGATTTTACAGCTGCCATTTCCCACATCGAGTTTTAGGCGATTGAATATATCTTTGTCCACCGAAAATGTACTTTTTTGTCTTGTACAGCACAGAAAAGCGCGCGTTTGTACGTACATGTGATAAAGTCAAGAGAGAGAAAGAGATTAATTTTTCCAATTATACGCATAATAAAAAGGGCTTCGTGCCTTTTTTTTTTTTTTTTATCCAATAACCCTGACCTACTTGCAATTTTTTTTTTTTACGCAGATGGTTTCATCCGAACATCACGGGCTTGGAAGCAGAACGGCTCCTAATGGAACGGGGCTACGACAGTTCGTTCCTAGCGAGGCCTAGTACGTCAAACCCCGGGGACTTTACGCTATCGGTCAGGTCAGTATACCATCCGTGTGGTGTTATAGTTTCGTTGTGAATACATTTATGCTTGTATTTTACAAAAACAGACGCAATGGCGAAGTGACGCACATCAAGATACAGAACTCGGGTGATTTTTACGATCTTTATGGAGGCGAGAAGTTTGCCACTTTGTCAGAACTCGTGCAATATTACATGGAAAACGGTGGACAGTTGCGCGAAAAAAACGGCGACTCGATTGAACTCAAGTATCCGCTCAACTGCGCCGATCCTACGACTGAGAGGTTCGTGTGTATATTTTTTTTGTTTTTATTGAGCACAATGGGATGTAGTGCTTGTTGTTGTTGTTGTTGTTGTTGTTTCTGATTCTTGATGTATTGTGTGTGACGTTTAATATATTTTGGAGTATCGCGACATCGTGTCGAGTGTGAACGATACCCTCGAGATTCGAGCTTTCTTGAGTGGTGTTCTTGAGAAAATTGGCACTGGGTATTGTTCTCGTCTTCGAGGTAAAAGTACTTAACAACACCGTTCGAGTTTTCAATTTATCAAACGATTTTCAGCAAAAACGTATTTTATCGGTCGAGAAAATTGAATTTTTTTACATATCAAATAAAGTATTTGTTTTTGCATATTTACGACTACGCGTACACCAAAAATTGTATTGTATAGTAAAACAACGTGCTTTCTCGATTATTTAAAAAAATTTTTTTTTTCACTAGTAAGCTTAAGGATGTCTCCTTATAGCACACAACGTTCAACAGAAAAGAAGATTGTAGGAAAAATGGTAAAAACGTATAACGAACCACGTTATTTTGAACAGAAAAGCTTCGAGCGTCATTTTTAAGAGCCATATTAAATTTATTGAAAAGAGGAAGGAAAAAATAAATAAAATAAAATATTCATCAACATGTTGTGCATACGATCCACAGGTGGTTTCACGGCCACTTGTCGGCCAAAGAGGCAGAAAGACTGATGGTCGAGCGCGGCAAGAACGGCTCGTTTCTCGTACGCGAGTCCCAAAGCAAACCCGGCGACTTTGTCCTCTCGGTACGCACGGACGATCGGGTCACCCACGTAATGATCAGATCTCAGGTACCGTACCCATACATTATATCTCCTATATGAACGAAAAGGGAAAAAGATAAGGATTTATTTTGATTCATCCATATTTTTACAGGACAACCGATACGACGTCGGAGGGGGCAACAAATTCGACAGTCTGAGCGACCTGATCGAGCACTACAAGAAAAACCCGATGGTCGAGACGAGCGGTAGCGTCGTGCATCTACGGTAACGACAACAAAAACATCCACCAGCCCTCCCCCGTTTATTATTCCCGTTGCACTGTAAATTTAAAAAAAAAATCGCAGGCAGCCCTTCAACGCGACGCGAATAAGCGCGAGCGGCATCGAGAGCCGCGTCCGCCAACTGCACAAGGAAAACGGTTGCTCGAACGGCTGGTTGAGTCGCAGCAACGGCGCCAGCAGCCTCGCCGACGACGAGGACTCTGGTCGGGGCAACAAAGGCAAGGCCGGCTTCTGGGAGGAGTTCGAGTCGTTGCAGCAACTCGAGTGCCGACACCTGTTCTCGCGCAAGGAGGGCCTCAGGCCCGAGAATCGCGCCAAGAACCGATACAAGAACATCCTGCCCTGTGAGTCTCTCGCCGATTTTTTTTTCTTTTTTTTTTCCTATACATTTTGTTCTCGTTTGCTCACTCCTTTTTTGCTTCTCCCCGCCAGTCGACCACACGCGCGTCAAGTTGAAAGATGTCGATCCGAACTTGCCCGGCTCCGATTACATAAACGCCAACTACATCAAAGTGAGCACTTTTACCCTCTTTATTTTTTCGTCATTGTTATATGCATACTAAAACCCAATGAAAACGCACAGAACGAGGAGGATTCGGGATCGACTGTGAGCAGCGCGGACAGTGGACTGTTCAACAAGTGCTACATAGCGACGCAGGGCTGCCTGCCGAACACTATTGCCGATTTCTGGCACATGGTCTACCAGGAGAACACGCGGGTCATCGTTATGACCACCAAGGAAATGGAACGGGGAAAAGTAAGGGGTTACGATAATTCTTTTTTCTTCTTACGTCTTGTACAACAATACAGATGTTTGGTACTTGCAGAACAAGTGCGCCCGGTACTGGCCCGAGGAGGGAGAAGTCAGCGAGTACGGCAACGAGTGGAAGGTCAGGGCGTTGAGCCGCACGTCGACGGCCGACTACACGCTCAGGGAGTTTTTGCTCCAGGGCACGAGGCCGGCGTTCATGGAGCCACGGCGGATCTACCATTACCACTTTCAGGTAACTTTTATACCCATGTATCATTGGTTGGGTTTGATTTCGTTACGACAAAAATATACGAGCAACCGCGTGATGTTACGTGTCCCCGTATAGGCGTGGCCGGATCACGGAGTGCCGTCGGATCCAGGCTGCGTTTTGAACTTTTTGCACGACGTCAACGCGAGACAAGAATCGATCACTGGAAACGGATTACCCGCGCAGGGATCGGTTGGGCCGATCCTCGTGCACTGCAGCGCAGGGATCGGTAGGACCGGCACGTTCATCGTCATCGACATGATCCTCGACCAGATCAAGAGACACGGTCAGTATGCCACGTAATTATTGCGTCCGTACACGAATGGGAATCGAATCCAACTACCGATTTAACGATTCCAAAAGATAATAATACGCTCTTGGGTGCCAGTTTGGCCTTAAATAATCAGATTCAAGATCGATTGGGCCCATAAGTGGATGATTGTATATTTTTCCTCTCCAGGATTGGATTGCGAAATCGACATTCAAAGGACCATCCAGAGGGTGCGCTCGCAACGATCGGGAATGGTACAGACGGAGGCGCAGTACAAATTCGTGTACCTGGCCGTGCTGCATTACATCGAGACCGTGTCCCAAAGAATGCAAGCCGAACAGGTAAACTTGCGTTTATAAAAGCGTATTATTTCTCCATACAAGAGGGTTTGTTGCAAAGTATACATTTGTTTCCCCCCGATCGGTTGTTCCACAGAAGTCGCTGCAACTCGGCAGGGAGTACACGAACATCCGGTACAAGAGCGAGGGTATAAGCGAGACGCCGGCCGTGACGCCCAACCCGGCGACCGTTTCCACGGCGAGTTTCACCCTATTGGCGTCCGGCAGTGGTCTTAGGCCGAAGTAAGGAAGAAAAAAAAACAAAAAAAAAAAACAGGGGAGTCAAATTTTGAATCTCGCTCGGCAGGATAACGGAGATTATGAACATTGATATGGATACTGGATGTCTTTATATGCGCGCGAGTACGTGTCGTCGATGATCCCATGCTGTACTTTGTTTATCTATGATTATATCTATAGGAATACGTAGCTCGGAGCTGGTGCGCTTTTGTTTGTTGGGCCTATTTTCGATGAGGAACCTAATCTGTGTTAATTATAGGCATATTGATGGTTAAAAAAATTAATAAGTAAAGTGATTTAATGCCACAATTGGATAAATGGTTCTAACTTACACACTCCATGAGCCTATATGGGATGGATCGATAAACACGTGATATATGTATACATGTACGCATGTTTCCTGATTTACCTTTTTTTTTATTTTTTATTATTTTTTTAAGTTTTCGCGCAATTGTTTTGCGTCCCGAAACGAGATTTCAGGTACTTGATTGTGACTAGAAAAAAAGACACAGAACCTTGAATAAAAGATGCCTTTTTTTTGTTTAAGCACATGTATAAATACGTGTAAATGTTAGCGACGAGGCGAGTCTCGAGCTATTGGTTTGATTTATATAGAGCGAACGTTTCAAGCTTCGATATCGTCGCAAAATTAAACGATAGTCTTCCCTAGTTAGAAAATTCCATTGAGAACGTTGAGGAACAAAAAAAAAAAAACATTTTTATCACGAGTTTTGTATTTTCTCTCGGGCTTACGCCAAAATTGTTCAATAAGATATGAAAAAAAAAGAAAAAAAAAACTTGATTATAATTCTCACTTGATGATTAACATTGTAATTGTGCATGAATTAAATGCAATCGATGATACATAAAAATAAATCTTACCCAAATCATTTTTACTCGAGTGACTACTTTGATTAGAAGCTTTTTTCAAATCTTTCACCTTTTATCCAAGAATTTTAATCAATATTGAACCACACGTGTATGAAATAAACATTAATTTTTCAACAATATTTATCCATAATGTAGAAATAATTTATATATTTCTTACTTCATATAATCGTACCAACAACATTAATTTTTCAACAATTTCCTATCATATATGGAAAGTCAGATACATATTAGTGCGTAAAATAAAAAACTAAATCAGTTTTCAGTAAAATATTCTTCTAAGGGTTGATCCTGCATGTGGTCGCATAGTGTATACTATTGAAGTTTTAAATCAAAGAAAAAAGTACATCTATCCTAGAAAATTTATAGATGAAATAAAGCTGTAGGTATGCATAATTAATTGTTAAGTGAAGATTGAGCTAGAATCCAGAACATTGCACTTTTTGACGTGTGTACGTAAATATAACATAAATATTGGGTAGTTGCACACTATAATAATGACACACAACAATTGGTGCAATGAGCCTTTCGAAAGCTGTGAAGATTGTGCATAGCACACACGTTCGTGGCGTGGAGAATCAAAAGTAACAAGTTAAGAAAAGAATATAAATAAATTTACTGAGAGTATATATATATGTATAAATCCACGTATGAAGTAGTCGATTTGTTCTTTCTATATTGGGAAAGTTATTAAGGGGATATCTGTATATTATATGCATCTCTCGAAGTAAATACAGGCGAACGATCGCGTTGATCGTTACATATATATATGCGAGGAATAAAAATTTTGACTAAGCCAAAAATGTACAATTTACTTACGATACTTGCAAAGTAATGGGAATAAGAAATTTCGAAGGGAAAAACACGAGTGCTGTTTTAAAATCTTGAAAAATTCACGTTATGAAATCAGTTGCGGTTCTTCACTTGAAAATGTTCCATTAAAATTTTTAACGTTAATCGGTAAAACAACTTGAGATTTCTAATTCTATGCAAATAAGTAATTAAATTAGAGCTTGAAAAATTTTTCAAGGTCTTAAAAATGATTTCGCACAAATGAGCGTAAATATATGACAAAAAGTGATAAATATGTATGTATATTGTATGCATAAAAATAATGAAAAATGTGTTATTAGGTTGACGATATTTTTACAAATACCTACTTCATAGAGATTTTTAGTTGTGTTTTGGAACTCTAGAGATATTTCTGTTCACTTTTGTATTCCAATATGGATAAAAAGAAAACAAAATAATTGCGTTGTTATATAATTTTGTAGGAAATATTGTAACGTTTAGAGGTCTAATTTATTAATTTATCATTTGTACTCCAATCTGCTTTTACATCTTTTTTTGATAAATATTACGATGGATTATTGTTTGCCGATTAGCTGAGATTTTAATAAAAGTTTATTATTGTACTTTGAAGCTCTGACAGAACAAGAATTATTTGCTGATGAAATAAAAACGTCTTATGAGTTTTTTTATTGAAAAAAGCTTTCTTTACAAATTATATTTTGTACTTAAATTTATGTACCTTTTTTGGTCAAGTTACATAAAAAATGTTAAATATTTACACATTTTGACATCAATTTATTGGAAAAAAATGAACAACTTAAAAAATATGCTTTAGTCTATAATTACTGATTTAGCATATCACGGCATATCATTTGACAAGTTTGACTTTCGTAGAGGATTCTTTCTCCATCGGCTTAGTATCTCCAAATCTAGCTTTACGTTGCTCTTTTTTGGCTTCCATCTCTGCTTTATCCAAAAGGCTGGACACATTCGTACCAAATCTTTCTGCTCTTTTTTTAAGCAACTCGTAACTTGCTGGCTAGAATAATAAAAATTTAAAAATAATATTTTCAACACCCATCTTTTTATGTACGTGATTTAAGTAAAATTCTTACCACTGGAGTATTTTTAATTGAAGCTGCAGATTTACCAGTGTTGTTACTATTTTTGGTACCTGTATTGAAACGTGCAGCACGAGCTTCCTTCTTTGAAGTATCTGACAGAGGAACACCAAATTTCTTGGCTCTCATTTCCAATCTCTGAAAAAGTAAAATTGTTATGAAAAAAATTTTTTTTTGCAGGCAAAACATGACGCAGTTTATTTAGAAATATTTTGAAATCTATACCTCAGCACTAGATAGCTCAGACAGTTTAATAACTTTTTTATCAGAGTCTTTTTTCTCGTCCTTGGCGTCATTGTTCGCTTTTGTCTAAAATTAGAAGTTTGTCAACTAATTATACTTCTTCACGCAATAAATTGAAAAATGGTTAGATTTTTATGAGTTTACCACTGTAGTAGTTTTAATTGTTTTAATTAGAGATTCATTATTATTATCAGTTCCATTACTTGTAGCATTAAATCTTGCAGCACGTAATTCTCTCTTGGCAGCTTCTGTCAATGGCATACCAAACTTCTTTGCCCTCATTGCCAATCGCTGATAATATGATAATATTAATTCAATTTTTATGATGAAAGGATTAAAGCATTTAACTATAAAACTGAATTCGTGATTTCTTTGTCAGTAATTGACAAAACTACTACAGTGGCAAGGTAGTTTTCAATACATTGTCTAACTTTCATGGATTACGAGCTTATGAGTAGATTAAAACTACTCTACTTGCTAGGGGTAAAAAAAGAAATTACCTCATTGTTAGAATTTGATAATTTAATAACTTTTTTTTCAGCCTCCTCGGATGGCTTGTCAATCTTTTCTTCTTCCTCTTTGCTTTGACCATTATCAACCTTAACGTCTTCAATCTTATTAGTTCTATTGAGAACAATTTTTTTGGCAGGAGTCTTATTGTCATCATCAGCTGCCTTTCGTTTTAAAGCTACAACTTCCGCAGAAAGTGAGTCAGGTTTAGCGTTCAGTTCCTCAGTCTCTAATTCTTCATCCTATGATGTATAAAAAATAATGAATACAGGTTACACATCTTAATTCCAAATACGTTAGGACTTTCCACTTACCTCAAGTACTGCATCTTCATCAATAATTTCATCTGCAGCTTCATCCAATGATAATGATGTATCTTACAACAAAATGTTTAATGTTAAATGTTATGTTTGATAATGTAAGGAGTTAAACAGTTTATTAGTCACCCAAGATATTTACCGTGAATAGCCAGTTGTAAACGCTCAACTAACTCAATTTTGTTGCCTGTAGTAGGTAGACCTCTCTGCTTCAATTCAGCCTTTAAATCTGCTACCTATGAAAATAAATGTCCATCAATTCAGTGTCAATCTCAAGTATTTCTGAAGGAGTAAGTAAAAAAAGGTAAAATTAAGGTTTTCCTCTTGGTAAACAAATAACGTACATTGCCTTTGTTCATTGTCAACAAAGTGCTTGATCTATAACAAAATCTCCAAAGAATCAATGTTTCAACAAAATCAATACACCAGCAACAACCAACGGAAATTACACAAGACTATTTTAATGATCGCACAAACGTCTATTAATACACCATAAGAACCGAAATGATGGGAAATGCGTCAATACATCTATAAGTAGTAGAACGAGGTTGCTCTAATGCTCTATGCACGTAGTATGGTACCTCTACTGTGAATTCGGTCGTGGAGACGCCGCCGCCTCTTAAATTTTAGGTTAAGTTATTCACACGCACCTGCATTTTGAGGTGTAAAAGTACCAACTAAATAGAATACAATGATAAATGTATGCACCACTTACCTTCATCTTGGCGAGTTCGGTTATTCCCTTTTCAAATGACGAGTCTGCCATTCCTTATTTATTATTCGATTCCTTTTCACAAAAACAAACCGTCAGCACAACTCGATTGTCTCTTAACACTTGTAAACCGAAGGGGGAAAACAAAAACACACAGCTGCACGAGGTCAAAGCCGCTTGCGTTTCCGCGTAGTCTTCGTATGAATACTATGAATAAATTAATAAATAACGCAAGGAATGGTCTACTTAACAGGTGGACGAAGAAAACGCAAGATCACTTATGGTATAAAAGTACAAATAACGAGTCGAGCCGATCCAGACGAAAGGGCTTCTTTTTATCCAAAATCGATAAGGGCCGACAAGAGCTCACCTGATTGGCTAATGCATCAAGCATATGTAATACGTACACGATTTATACACGCGTAATAACAAAATTTATGTTTAATTTTTTTTAATGACATTAATATACACGCGATGGTTGTTGATAAAAGTAAATAACTTGCAAGTTTTTTTTTTTTTTTTTTTTTTCAACGATTTAATATAAAATAACTAATAAAAGTTGTGTATGTTTGAGATTCCACTTTTTGAAGATGAAGGTTTGGTTGTTGGTAGGGTAAATCACTGTAGTCATCATATAATTAAGTTTTGCGAGTTTACAAATTTTACGAAGCGTTATATTAACATAAATAAAATGAAGTCGGATAAAGGGAATTAGAGAATCCTGAAGCAAAAAATTAATGGACGTATTTCAAACGACGCAACACGTCACATAACCTAATCCAAATTTTCGTTTCAAACTGTACATAAAACTAATCATTAACACTAAATATATTTTTTTATGACTTAACATTAAAGTTGGAACATATTGCGTTACGCTTGACATACTTTCGTCACGTCATTTGAAAAAAATAGCGCTCGCATACCTACAGGTACAGAAAACCCAAATCGCGTCGTTTGACGCACGAATCTCCTATGCGACGTGTCCGTCCGTCGGTCCGTTGCGGTATGCGTTATGCGGAAAACATTTACGTAGATGCATCAGTGTTGCAATATTATATGTGTACATGAATCTATACTATCTAATGATCTAATCTATCGATCAATATCAATCCTCTAAGAATTACTATATATATTCAGCCAAGATATATGATATAATTCGATCGAATGGCGCATAATAATATATGGTCAGCGTCAGCGGACTATATATATATGTGTGTGTGTGTGTGTACTTAAAGGAGGTCGATTTTCGGATGAAAACAGCTTGTAAACTTGACACAAATAGCACAAAAAATGTCAACGTATTATTGTCTATTTATCAGATTAGTTGCGGCTGGTTTATAATCAATTACACGGCTCTATTGTAAGTTGTAATAGTTATTTGGATCAGCGCCATCTAGCGGTTTTCATTTTTTCGCCAAAAGTGGCCTCTAAAATTCTGAAACCGAGCATAAGGGCTAAGAGCCATTTAGTCAATTATAAACCAGCCGCAACTAATTAGATAGCTATAAAATGAAAAAATAACGATACGTATGTTTTTGGCGGCAAGTTAACAATCTATTTTTTACCAAAAAATTGACCTTCTATGTATTCACACTTTTAAAGATAAATTTTCGAGTAAAAGATAGATTGTTAACTTGCCGCCAAAAACACACGTATCGTTATTTTTTTATTTTATACCTCCCAAATGAGTTGCGGCTGGTTTATAATTGACTAAATGGCTCTACGCCTTTATGCTCAGTTTCAGAATTTTAGAGGCCACTTTTGGCGAAAAAATGAAAACCGCTAGATGGCGCTGATCCAAATGACTATTACTATACTTACAGTAGAGACACTTTGTTAACTATAAACTAGCCGCAACTGATCTTGTAGATGGACAATAAAAATTGACGTATCCTATGCTATCTGCGGCAAGCTTACAATTTATCTTTGAGCCAAAAATCGACATGTAAAAGTATAAATATTCTACTTATCTTATGTGGCTTATAAAATCAACCATATTCACAAACTTACAATACCTTAAGCTTTTCACCATTGACTCATGGAAGCACAGGCAGTAGTACGGACCCAGAGAGGAGTAGATTAGTATAGTCTACTGTGTGCCAGTGCTCTCGAGTCGACTACTACTCATCTACTGTGTGCTCAATAATTTTTTATCACTCTCTCGCTCTCATTGCTGATAAATATTTCGCAATTAGTATTCGTTTCTTATATTTTATTTGTTGCGTCAACTGTCAACATATTTTTTCATTCCCTTCGTGTTTACTTAACCTTTTATTCACTTACTTGTTTCAGTTTCTGGGCGAGAAAAATTAAAGTGTTGAATAATAAATAATAGTTTATTTTAATTATGAAAAATATCGAACCATTAAAGGTTGTGTTTTAAACTACGGGTTGTAGAAATTGCTCTGACAAGGTTATGAGGACGATTTGATTGAAAATTATTTAGAAGAGTAAAGTGACGGCTCGACAACCAGTCATGAAGCTTTTTTTATTGTTTATCAGTGCATTCTACATTTTTCACTTGTTCGACAGTGCCTCCAGTGATACTTTTATGGAAGAGTTTGTTGATCTTTCAGTTTCTTACTTGACATAATAAGTGCTCTAAATGTTGTATTTTGCTCCAACTTTTAATGTTATTTGCAGGGAAAAAGAGGTTGTTGATCCAAACTCGTTGTTCTACAGCCGTCAGAAGAAAAAAGTGGTCATACCTGAAAGGTATGAGTCCAGTAATGAACTGTAAGTATTTTGTCATCTTTATTTTCAAATTTTATCAATTAACAATTTTTTTCACACCAACCATTTTTCCAGAGAAATAAGATATGAAAGCAATGAATATTATACCTACTGTAACGATAGATCTTATGAAGTCTTTGCAAGACGTCTCATTAATATACTACTTAAAAATGCTAGATTAAAGGTATAATTCTATGCTGTACAAATCAAACATGCCCTATCACAGAAAATGTAATGAACTGTTTGTTTAGGTACATGATGACAATGTCACTGGAAGTGTCAACATTGAAGCAAATTTACAACAGTTGGAAATATTAAAGGGCTTTGGAGAAGGAAAGATTTCCATAAGACAACTTGATAGTATTATAGGTGATGTTATAAGGCAACCTCCAGTTGATTTGTTGAACGAGTTCTTTAGTTACACTGATATGTTATGTTTCTATCTCTACGAACGTGTACGTTTAATGGCCCCCAATGTGTTATCAAATATAAATTTTGAAACAACTCAGATTAGTGTATAAAATTTATTGTTTCAGAGAAAAACATTTGTATCCCTACTTGTTTCTATGATTATCATTCCAATCATAGTAAAAGGAACTAGGACTAAGTTAGGGATTATTACTTTGCTGTTTTCAGTTATAACTATAATAAGTTTTGTTATGACTTGGATGCAGCTCTTACAGGTAAAGGGGAAAAATACCAACAAAAAATGTCAAAAATTTCTTTACATTTTTATATTTTTTTAAAAGGATGCTGAAATAAAACTAGCAGCTCAGAGACATATGTATTACAAGATGCCTGACGAATGTGCAACCCAAGATATTGGCTTCATAGCATCATTCAAGTTGTTCTGGGGTACAAATAACTAATTTTTTACACAAAAAACTTATCACACTGTGAAGTGCATCGTAATCACGGTCCCAAAAATGTTAACGTTTTCTAGGCATTGGTAAAGGTGACTGCTTGAAGTATTATGAAGCAATCATGAATGATCCTATGTTGGAAGTCACACCAGTACATGCCTTCATTCACATGTGTTGCAAATCGATTTCCTATCCACTATTGCTTTTCGGCAAAGAGTTTTCCCACTTTACTGATGCCATTTCTGGTAAATATACAACTGCTATGATTTATTCTGCTTTGCTTTCAAATTATCTACTTACCTTAATTTAATTTTCAGATTCTTTACCTTGGTGGATACAACCTATAGCAAAACCCTTGATATTCTCTCTGACACTTTTACTTGTATATAGCTTAACATTTATCCTTGTTGGAGGAAAATTCGGAGTTAGAATAGGGCCGTTGTTCCATTTTTACATTCACGGAAGAGAATGGGGGCAATCGTCAATTGACTACAACACCAGCATTCGGCAGCCCATCGAAATTTTGCAATCAGTATGTCATTTTTCGTTAGAAAAAATAATGAAAGGTCGCCAAAATACAGATTTCACCTACTGTTAAATATTCTCATTTTTTTAGGAAACTAGAGAAATAGAAAATATTACACAGACTCAGGTTCAAACGAATCGTGGGTCAATGGTAGGGTAAAAATTGTTTTTTTAACTAGCTAACCTATTATATTGTGTACTGTAAAAAAACTATAATTTTTTCAGGAAACTTGTGAAGTAATGAGTGTAACACAAGTTCAAACTCAAACAGTCTCAAATGTGCCAGTGAAAAAGGAATCTCCAAAAACGGAAGAAGAATCAACTCAAATCAAAGAAATCGAGCATGTAGAATTGGAGTCTCAGGAGGGAAGCAGCGGCAGCAATAGCGATGAATTCTTAGACGATAACGAGTACGAGAAAATATCGAAGAAACTAGTCGAGAGTGAAATGAACAGGACCAGAATTGAAGTTCTCGAGGGTGAAAGTGCGCCAAAGGAACAAATACAAAAAGACAAGAGTAGAACGCCGATGAAAAAATCGTTAAAAATCGGCAGCGGCGACAGTTATTTCTAAGCTTTATAAGAAATTTATCAAAAAAAAGGATGAATTTTTACGGTATTTTTATAATTAAGGAAACCGACGTTTTCACGGCATCCACGTATCATATATTTTCAGTAAAATTTTTTTACAAATCCGCCAGAAAAAAGTGTACTTTACGAAACTTTTTCGCTAAATCGATTTTTATCTCACTTCCGTACTTATGGACAATTAAATTAAAAAAAAAAAAAAAAAAAAATACACATTTAAATATTATGTACATCATTCGATTGTAAATAGTTATCTCCGAGTATGCGAGTGCATTATAATGTGATATTAAATTATTTTTTTTCTACTAAGTATGCCTACTGTCTCTCGTCAATTCACAAGCCCCATGTAATCTTTTAGAGAAATCGTGTGTAAATACTAGTAGGTACTTGCCACAGTAGGCCAGGACTCATTTCCCGAGCTCTCGTACATTTAGTATTGCAAAATCATATAGGTACCAAGTATATAAACATTCGCAATGCAAAAAAACTCTCAGTCGACGCATGCGCCACACAAGGATCTGATCTGGATCTCCGATCCAAGTCATCTAAGCTAAAGTCGTTCGCGCTTGGTGTAAAATTAAATCCCAATACTTACTTACTACATTTAAATACAGCCGTGTAAAATAATAATTCGCGTGGGCTTTCTTTCTCTCTTAAAAATTGTTGAGTCGAACGTTGCTTATAGAAAATATAATCGACAACGTAATTATACTTATAGCTTGAAAAAAAAAGTTGCTAAGTGACTCCTTCTGTGCTTGCTACTGTTGCTGAGTTAGGTACTTATATGAGAATACATAGGTACACTCGTATTTGTGTGTAATGCGTTTGTCTACATGCTCTCAAAGTGCCTAACTGTGCCTAATAGTGCCCTCCTACTCTACTGCATCGAGATATCAACATCAACGGCCTTAGTTTAATGTGTAACAATTGTTGCAGATACCTAAGTTAAAAGTATCATGTATCAGGTAGTCGCACTCATCAGTTGAGTGTGAAGAGCTACTGTAATGAAGATAAAGAAGAGGAGAGGGGAGTGTCTGCAATAAAGATATAGACGATCGTTGCTCCAAAAAAAAAAGCACTCAGCGCATTCGCATATACTTATGCAGTGCACACGTACAGTACTGCTTGAACGCTACCGCACGTATACTCAATGTAAACATCGGAGCTCAAGTGCTTAGTTTTAGCACACGTATAATTTAAATATCTTTTGAGATATAGTTTACATTTGTCAAATGTTGTTACTGTTAATTTAATTGCATACGGTTTTGAAGGTGTTGAAAAGAGAGAGAGTTGGTAATATGAATGGGCAGGTGCATGAAGTGCGTGGAAAATTGAGACGTGCCTGTGTTAACGCTCATGGTTTTTTATGATGTAAACGTAAGTGTAAATACTGAATAAGGTCGTGTTTCTGACAGGCCAACTGCTAAGTACATATATTATTATTATTATTATTAAGTGATGTGTCGTCGTGGATGAACGGGAGATAAGAGAAGAGGTTGTGTTTGATACAACATGCCATGATGATGATGATGATGATGATGAAGGCGTTCTTTTTATTGCTCTTCATTGATACAGTTTATCCCGATTTTCTCTTTTTCTTCTCCTTACCTAATTTGGCAGTATACTTATATGCTTACCGATCGCTTTAGTCGAATTATTAGTGAAGCTTTTCGGTAAGAAAAATAAAACTAGCCTTACTGCGCTCCAGGGAGGGCTGCTTATTTTTTTTTCTCCTGCACTTACGACCACCTCGACCTACTGTCACTTGTGCCATTGTTACAGCAATAGTGTGCGTCACAATTTTATTTCTCCGTGTCATTTGAGATTTTTTTCTAGCCCACTGATCGATCGTTTTCGGATTATCCCAGGGATAATTGGTAATATTTATTTTCCAAATTTCTTGGAACTTCATGTACGGCCAAGAGTGTGCTATCAATTTGGTTGTGATAATCTTTTTAATTTATATCGATATTAATTAAAAACGAAAAGGGGAAAAAGAAGCGGAAGCAAGGCATTGATTAACAGTATTTTCGAAACGATTCATTTCTAGAAGTAGTTTTAAAACGTTTATCATTAACTTGTCATTCTCAAAGAAAGTGATTTCTATTGTTATCATTAGTTTATTGGATTGTTTACCCTTTCATTTCAACAAATGGTTTTTCAAAACATTTATCTTTTACTTAAGAATCAAAATTTACGTGTAGGAATATGCACGACGATTTTTTACAAATTATACAATTAATATTTTTACTCTCAGCAACATCGTCATATCAATAGTTATTGTAGTACGAGTAATAAATTATCCTTAAAAAGTTGTAACGCAAATCATACATCTTTTTTTACTAAATATTCTTTATTGAAAATTTCATTGGGTGAATCCAGACGAATCCTCTCTTACTTTCTGCATAATTATGGGTGACTCCAACGTCATCGTCGTCCTCATCGTCAGGCACATTATTTAACACCTGATCGTCATATTTTTACGTTCTACAGGCATGTTGTTTCTGCAAAAAACTTCAAATAATTTATAGCACGAGGAATCGTACGAGCGTTTTAAAACTACTTGCAAAAAAAAAATAATTTCGAAAATATTGTCAACTGATGCTTTTTTTTCTCTATTTTGCTCTAAATTAATACCGATTTAAATTAAAACGAATCTCCAAACTAGAGCATACTTATTCTTGGTCGTACAATGAATTACACGAATTTTTGGAAATAAGTATATTAACAATCATTCCCGGGAAAACCCGAAAATGACTAACGGACTATGACTTAAAGTAAAAAAAATTTAATGACTCGAAAAATTAAAATTGTGACGCACATTGTATTGCAGTACACGATCGCGTTCGAGGAAGAAGGCCCGAAATCACGCTAGAGACCCAAGGAAGGAAAAAACGAGCACAAGTCGAAGAGGAAGAAAATCAAGAACAAATAAGATTGGATGAAAGAAGCAACGGGGAAGATAATAAAACGGCACGAGGATGCAGCAGGAGGGCACCCCCAAGTTCCTCAAGTTCCACCAGGGCAGCGTCAGAGGCGTCGCTTTTAGTCCTAGGGTAAAAAAAACACCTTACACCTCATTGTAAAACTAAAAATTATACATTCGCACATTTCATATACAGATAACCATTTCACAGGATCAATGGATTATAAAAATAAAAACAGCCACTTGACGACCAACGATCATTCTAATTATACACTCAGTTGATTAATTTCTCTCTAGGTGGTTCCATCCATCCGTTTCATTTTTCTATTTTCGCTCCGCACGTGTGCAAATACCGTCTGTTTTTTCTTCTTTTTTTTTTTTTTTTTAATTAACACACGTGTGGATCAGACACTCCGAGCTCGTCTACTCGTTTCGCACACGTGCCTGCTTTTTTTATTGTTTGTCAAAACTCTACACGGTACACAATATGTGGCACGCAGCACATCCTCTTGTTTTTTGTTTGAGGAAACGCGCGTTTCTACGTTCTCGGGTGTCCCGATGAATTGTGCAACAACGTATCAATTTTTCACAAACGCGTAGTCCTCTTTGATTCTTGCATTTTTCAACGCTACGAATCCCAATCTCACAAATCTGTAGGAATTCATGGAAACCTCGAGAGTCACGTATGCTTTTTATTCCAGGACAGATATCTCTTTTGCTCCGGTGGGTACGACGGCAAGGTCAACCTCTACTCGGCCTCGCGAATGGAGTTGCTCATGTGTTATCAGGTGACGCCGATGACGCAGGCCAAGAACGTCAACGCCGTGCGCTTCACCTCCGACGGCTCCCGGGTAATTTATGCACCATCCGATCATTTGTGCATTTGCTCGACCCGACGATCCTTAAGTCGAAATGTATCGTATGTGTAGGTACTAGCTGCCACGAACACCAGGCGTCTCGTGGTGGTGGACGTTGAACGAGGCGAGCAGCTCCTGGCGTACGACAATTGCGCCTACGGTGGCAGGGACAGGACGGGCTTGGCGACTGATCCCTCGGGGCCGAATCTTGCCTGTGCCGTAGCTGCCAACGGCAAGGGCCTCACCCTCGTCGACCTGCGAATGCCACTGCCCTTGGACTTTGTTTACGACGTGTGTATATACCTTTGGCTTTTAAGTTTCGAGCAACGGCCCGAGCGTGTGATGGTCGATTTTGGGTTTTTTTTCCAGTTGCACACGTCGACGATTCGGGACATATGTTTCTTGCCGACCTCGTGGCCTTGGCAGAACTCGATACTGACGGGCGGTACCGATGGCACCTGCAAGATTTCCTCGCCCGACGGTCGAGTACTCTACGCCTTTCAGACCGGCCACTCCGTCAACTCGGTCTGCATCACTCCCGAGCCGTACTGCCGCAGCGCCGAGGATGGGTTTTACAGTAAACACCTTTTGAGTTTTACTTACTTGTTGAACACGGAAGGTATACAATGGGTTTTAATCGGTAAAATTTGATTACCCAGGTCTGATCATGAGCGGCGGAGATTTGATTTCTGCTTACGTACCTGACTCCGGCATACAGGAGCTGCTGAAGGAGCACAAAAACTGTCCGGTCTGGAAGTTGCGCTACACCTCGAACGGCAGCACCTTGTACTCCGTGTGCGACGACGGCGTCCTGAGGAGGTATCGGCGATATTCGGATAGACACGAGTACCTCGGCGAGGTGTACCGGCACAAGAGCGACATACAAGACTTGGATATTTCCCCTTACGATGAATGTATCCTTTTCGAGTTGATGACAGTTTTTTTTTTTCCCCCTATTGCAAGGTAGTTTTCTTAATGAAGAAAAAAAACAACCAGATATTGTCACTGCCTCCAAAGATCGAAGCGTCGGCGTGCTGTTGCTTGGCCCACCGAATCACGGATACACCGAGTACACCGAGCTCACCTGATGGAAGGGTGTGATTGATTATTCCGTCCCCAATCATTTTGCTCAACGCAAAGACAGCGGACAAAGTGTATTGCGCGCATACGTGTGTTATGTACTCACGTTTACGCGATAGTTCAGTCGGCACCTCTGTTATAAACGTGGTGGCGCACAACAAAGACGTTATTATATATATATACACACATTCTCACGAGAGAATAGTTATTTACATTTTGTACAAAGTTTAACGTATTGTTACTGTTATCATTTATAGAGAGATGTTTACGGAACGCGCAATGATGAGGAGATAAAAAGTACACAAAGCTAAAGAAAAATATACTAGAGCACGATGATGGTTGCCTATAAGAGTTGCGTGATGTTGATTTGTAACGTGATTCACATGAAAAATGCATAACTTTTCTTATCAGTTCAAATGAAGATGTGTTATTAACAATGAACAAACTGTACATGAACAATTTTTTTTTCTTCATTGTTTGTTTCGTTTGTTTTTCATCTTTTGAATTCATTTTGTTCAGTAAAATTTCAAGTACATTCGTGGTTACTAGCTAAGATCACAATTTGAATGATTTTACCAAGTACTCGTTGTACTTGATTGACATAATATATTGTTATACTGTATGAAAGTATTGTTTATATCAAAAAAGAAATTGGCAATATGTAATCACAGAAATAAAAACAACGTTTAGAATACACATGACTTTTTTATAATTTCATCCAAATGTTTCCTCACACAAAATTATCATCTCTCAATCATTAGTTAATTGGTCCTTGGTTAACTCGACGACTTGAAAGGTATGCAACTATTTAAATGCACAAAATGTTTTTCTCACAAAGACTCGTCCATATCCCCCCAGTCGGTTACTTGCTCGGAACAACTTCAGGAAACGCAAATCTTATCGAAACAAAAGGTAAGCAGTGTTTTTTCGTATCGCTTGTTCCCACTCTGTCGTTCCTTCCTTCCTTTTTTTTTTTTTTTTTTTTTTTTTTTTTATTCTACACGCACTTATAGGCTCAATAATAAAGTGGCTAGTGTTATCAGCACCCACTTTCAGTTGAGCTTCGGCGTACCTACTCGATGGGACTTTAACTATAGTTTGCGAGCTTGTTTAAAAACAATTCAGCGTTTTGGTTATTGATACTTTTTGGGTGTGGTTGTTTTTAATTTTTTCAACATACGTGATGATTATGTTACCGCACACACTTGTTAATAAATTTACAAATATACCAATTTGATGGTTTAGTCCTTGGATCATCACGAAGGGTAAGACTTTTTTTGTCATTTCGTATTTTAATATTTTAATAAATATTTATTGTTGCGGAATGAACTAAGCTCATCAGAGTCGGTGGTTGTTAAGTGGGACATTTTTTGCATAAAAACGAAAAAATATCAAATTGCACAAAAAAATTATAACTTGAGTGAGGCACACATTCGTTTTAAGATAAAATAAAATATAAAAAAATATTGTGAAAATTTTTACGTGTTTCTTTGAGAATTTTAGTCCGTCTTATTGTTATTAAAGTGAAACAATTACGTTCAACCGTATTTAAAACATTTTAATAACTTTGGCAATTTTTTATTGAAAACTATTCGAAAAATGCAGTGCACACACGTTGTCTTTTTATTTCGTATTAATTTTGTTTTCAAATACAAGCTTGACCAAAGTAAGACGTATGAACTCACATAAATTTGTAGGTAAAAAAAAAAAAAAAAAAAAAAAAAAAAAAAAAAAAAAAAAAAAAAAAAAA